CCTCTGACCCTCCCCCGTTCATGCTCTGTCTCTCTCTGTCTCAAAAATAAACGTTAAAAAAAAAAAAGTTATATAGAAATACAATTGATTTTTGTGTATTGATCTCTTATCCTGCAACCTTGCTGAACTTATTAATTCTCATAGTTTTTTAGTGGATTTCTTAGGGTTGTAAGATCATGTCATCTATGTTCAGAGATAGTTTGACTTCTTCCTTTTCAGTTTGAATGCCTTTTCTTTCTTTTTCTTGTCTAATTGCCCTGGCTAGAACCTGTAGCACATTGCTGAATAAAAATGGCAAGAGCAGACATCCTTATCTGCTTCTCGATCTTGGAGATCAAGAGAGAAAGCCTCTTTCATCATTGAGGATTGTGCTAGCTGTGGGGTTTCTGTTTTGTTTTAATCAGTTTGAGGAAGTTTCCTTGTATTCCTAGTTTCTTGAGTGTTTTTATCATGAAAGTGTTGGATTTTGTCAAGTACTTTATCTGCGTGAGATGATTCTACAAGTTTTGTTTTTATTCGATTGATATATGTTACCCTAATTGATTTTCAGATGTTGACCTGACTTTGCACTCCTGGGACAAGTCCCACTTGGTCATGGTGTATAATCCTTTTTATAGGTTGCTAGATTTGGTCTGCTAGTATTTTGGTGAGGATTTTTGTGTCTCTATTCATAAGACATATTGGTGTAGTTTTCTTGTGATGTCTTTGATTTTGGTATTAGAGTAATACCGGCCTCTTAAAATTAGTTTGGAAGTGTTTCCTCCTCTTCTGTTATTTGGAAGAATTTGTGAAGAATTGGTGTTAATTCTTTAGATGTTTGGTAGGCTTTGGCGGTGAAATCATCTATCTGGACCTGGGTTTGTCAGATGTTGTTTTTAACTCTTACAAGTACCAATTCCTTCGGTGTATAGAAGAGGAAGCTGAAGCTCAGAAAGGCAAATTAAGTAATTTGCTAGTTAAGTGGGAAAACTGGGATCTTAATCCAAATTACTTTATGTCAAGTTCTAGGATGATAACAATAGCTGACATTTATTGCATAATTAGTTAGGTGTCTCTAACCATACGAGGTGCTTTAACGTGTTAATCTTCTGCTACAGTCCCAACACCAAGTGCTCATTTAGTAATAACTTCAGTTTTATGTATCTCATACCCATTTTCACATAGAGAATCTGACACCTAAGGAGATTCAGTGACTTGCCCTACTGAACCTGGGCCAGAAAGTAAATGGTACAGCTGTGCTTCTCACTCACAAGGCTGTCTGACTCTGGGGCCTGCCGTCGTAATTGCTTTCCTCTGTTGTATGCAGCAAAAGCAGCTGTGCCACATGTGGACAGCTGAGCCCAGATCAGGTCCGACCTTGGATCTGAATGGGTGCACACTACCCTTCAGGTTCCACTTGAACATGCGGGGCTCAGTCAGCACTGTGCCGTGAAGCGCGGTCTTTTCTCACTGCTCTGCTATGTAGCCAGCGCTCTGCTCTGTTCTGACTTCACGTGGTTAGGATGAAAATAAGTTGTCACTACGTGTAATACAGAAATGACTTTTAAGGGTATTTTAGTATGTCAGTCACCCAGCAGAGTCGCATAATATTTTTCAACAAGGACATCCAAAGCACTTTACGTGCTTATATAATATTCATATTGTTAGTGAGATTAGATGGTATCTAGCCTATTTGAGTAAATAGTTTTTAACTTAAAAAACGTCTCTTTTTTAAGTTAAAGGCCTTGAGGAAGGCCTCAAACGTCCATTCACATTTCAAAGGAGGCACAAAAAGCTGACCTGATGCCTTGTGTGGGTGGCGGGGCTGGTTGAGTGGTGGAACTCACGGAGGGAGGTTAGATTTGGTCTCCTGCAGAGCAGAGTGGGTGGCGTCTGGGCCTGGGAGTCCCCGGAACAAGGGCTGGAGGCTCCACTCCACAGAACCAGGTTGTCGGTCGTACCGCTCACACCTGTGCTCACACCTGTGCTGGGCGTTGTCCTGTCCAGGGCCCGCAGCCTGGCTTCTGCCGAGGCTGGTGTGGGGCAGTCCCCTGGTAGTGCAGCGCTGGAGGAGGGTGTCTAGCTGCTCTTAATTTTAGACTTTCAGTCAACTTTTTCCACAGCCGTATCCCACATCCCTATCTTTAGAGGAGTACAAGTTTTCTTCTGAGTGCTCTGCGTTTTCACAGTGGGCCTTGGCGGGCATCGTTTTGGTGAGATTCTCCCGCTGAGGCACTCAGCTGAGTAGAGAACATTCATGCTTAAGTCCATTACACATGCATGATAGCTTTCTGTCTTCCTAGATTTCACTGTCACATTTTTTTTTTTTAAGATTTTTTTTTTTTTTTTTTTTTTTTTTTTTTTTTTTTTTTTTTTTTTTAGGGGCTCCTGGGTGGCTCAGTGGGTTAAGTGTCTGACTGCTGATTTCAGCTCAGGTCATGGTCTCATGGTTCATGGGACTGAGCGCTGTGTCAGGCTCTGTGCTGGCATTGTAGCGCCTGCTTGGGATTCTCTCTCTCTCCCTCTCTCTCTCTCTGCTCCTCCCCCCATATACATGCTCTCTCTCTCAAAATAAATAAATGAACTTTAAAAAAATAATTTTTAACGTTTATTTATTTTTCTGGCAGAAAGAGAGCACAAGCGGGGGAGGGGCAGAGAGAGAAGGAGACAGAATATGAAGCAGGCTCCAGGCTCTGAGCTGTCAGCGCAGAGCCCGACGCGAGGCTCGAACTCACAGATCACAAGATCATGACCTGAGCCAAAGTCGGACGCTTAACCGACTGAGCCCCCCAGGCGCCCTAAGATTTATTTTTTTTAAGTAATCTCTATACCCACCACGGGGCTAGAATTTTCACAACCCTGAGATCAAGAGTCGCACGCTCCACCGAATGAGCCAGCCAGGTGCCTCCACGTTTGCTTTTTTGTAGGCTTTCCGGTGTCCTTTTTCTTGCCTTTGGTGTTTACACCTACTTTTCTTCCTTTACAGCATTTTATTAGGATTTCAGGAAGGAGTGGAGATAAATGCAATTTGTATTTCTTTTGTAAATTACCTCTTCATGTCCTTTGTAAATTTTTCTGTTGGGGTTTTCATGTTCTGAATTTGTAAAAACTTTATATGTATATGAACGATACCTCTTTGACATATGGTAACGGGTACAGTCCTTTCTTTTCTGTAAACTTACTTTCGAAACACTTGCTGGAAGATAGTGGGGAAGATTCCAGCTTTTGCTAACTTATACAGATGGTTGTATAGGGAAGTGGATCCTGAGACCAGCTGGCTGTACCTTGACTTTTGTATGGATGTGATTTTCTTGTGGTTTTCACCACCTCATAGAAGCTGTCTTATCTATTCATGCTTGAGAACTACTCATACTGTTTCACAAATGACAGACTCTGGCCAAGTGGAAGCGAATAAGTTGCCATCTCCTCTACCAAATACTCTAAATATATGGTCCTGGTCGTCAGCTGGAAAGGTCTGGCAACAGCTGGGCTGAGGAACACGGGTGCCCAGCTGCCTGCCAAGTGTTTGTTGCCTCAGCCCAGCCACATGCCCTAGGCTTGGAAAGAGTCCACTTTTGCACATGCCTTGGAAGGGTAGAAGGAGTCTCTGGCAAATATAAATGATCTCCCTCTGCATTTAGCAGTGGGCCCAGAGCCATGAGGAAGGGAGTTGTCAGAGGGAAGGAATTAGCAACAGCCCACCATGTGTCCCATTTGGCACGAGTGGACAGGTGTTAACCTTCCTCTGTGCATAGCAGTCAGGAGTACTGGTTTTCAGCTGACTTGTCAGGTTTGACCATGTTCCATTTCCTCTTATGTTTTCTCCAGGCTCCTTCTATCCTAGCCAATAGGAACAGAATGTCTTGCATTAGCAAGACAGGAAAATTATATTGGGTGCAGTCTAGGAAACTTTGATCAGGTGAGGCCTGGTGATAAAGCAGCTTTCAGTGCACATGTCTCTGGGACACCTGATGGAATTTGGAGTCCGAAGTGACCCTTGAGGAAGCCCAGAAACACCAGCTCAGTGTCACTTCCCCTTTCCCAGGTCCCCTGGTTACTTGGGAAATGGCTGTGGTGAAATGGCTATGGTGAAATGACGTGAAAACCCAACCTGGTTTTGTTTCCCCTCCCTGAATTATTCTTTTCCTCTGACTCCTACTGCCATGATCGTCTCAGATCTTTCTCAGGCCTGGTTTACTGCCTATAGCTTCTCCTCGTCTAATATGCTACTGCCATCCTAAATAGCACTTTCATTACACTACTTTATATTTAAATCTTTGCTTCTCTTTTCTAAGACCTGGCTTTTGACCCGTCTGCTGTGTTAGTCACAGTCCTGTTGGCACTTGGCACCAGGAGTTCTGTTGTAAGTTGCTCTGATTATTATTCCTACATTGGAAGGCTCTTGAAGACCAGGATGGTTGCTTACGTCTCTTGAATTTGCCACCACACATAGCTGGTCTTGTAGAAACACTCGTAAGCAGGCACGGCTCTCAGCGGAGTGCTGGTGTCTGGGGAAAATGCTCAAAATCTGAAAAATTACCTTGGCAGACTGAGGAAAAAACCACAGCGTCATAACTTTTGGAGGTTTTTCTTTAGCTTCAAATTCACCACATAACTTCACTCTGGAGTTTCCTTTTCTATAAATGGGGAGGGTTGGAGTGAATTATCTTTCAATTCCCACCCAACCCTGAAAGGCTAATTTTCCTTCGTTCTTTGCCTTGATCTTTGTCCTGAAATTAAAACTGATGAGCTGTTTCTGGATCTTGAATTAGGAATTTTTCATTTCTTTGTAGTTCTTTCCCTGACGCATTTTGCAGTTTTCTCTGGGTATGTGCTGCTGAAGGAAATTCGTATTTGCCATTTGGCTACTTTTTAGGAGAGCAGACAAAATGCCATATCATTCTGATTTCTTTCTTCCTTTCTTTCGTTCGCTTTTTTTTTTTTTCTCGGAGTTTCTCATTTGTAAAAATAAAGCTTTCAGGTAGGTGCATAATTTTAACATAATTTTTGCTCTTCTACAGACACAATGAGGCGAGTGGTACGACAGAGCAAGTTTCGGCATGTATTTGGACAAGCGGTGAAAAATGACCAGTGTTACGATGACATCCGGGTTTCTCGAGTGACCTGGGATAGTTCCTTTTGCGCTGTCAATCCCCGATTTGTTGCCATAATCATAGAAGCGAGTGGGGGCGGGGCGTTCCTTGTGCTCCCTCTGCACAAGGTAAGTAATCTGACTTTCCATTCTCTGAGACACCCTCTGGTAATCTCGATTTATTCTGTCATAGATTGACTTTGGGGATTGATAGTTCACTAAGACTTGTGTGCTTGCGGAGACCATTAGGCTCCGATGTAATTGACACTCAGTTCCACACACTTTACTGATCCCATCAGTTTTTTCTAACAGAGAATCATTAAACAGAATGGTGAACTCTGTTCTGGGTGTGGCTGCTGTGGATAAGAGATTATAATGATGCTGTGAGCATGGGCAGGCACAGGCATCTTATGATTTTGTTAATAATCCTCTTCTCACGGGAGTTTTTCTCAAAAGTGCAGTTTTTAAGAGGAGCAGAAATTTGTAAGTTAATCTTCCTCCTCCTCCTCCTCTGGTGTAGTGAATGATCAGTTTTGAGACTTTTTGGTGTTTTGAATGATAAGTGGAATGAGAGCTTAAGAAAATGTCCCCAAACAGTGCAGGTTTCAAGTCTGGACAAGACTGAGTTTTAGCATAGAATCAAAGCAGTGCAAATAAGTGGTAGAAATAAAGGGTCTTTACTGAAAGCTGTTACGTGTGACCTTCAACCTTACCCCACTTCCCGGTCTCCTGACTTTCTCCTTCCAGAGAGCCTTCTCCCATATGGGGAGGAGGTAGGAGATTTGGGAATTTCTGACTGTTCTTGAATATTATAGATGAAACTCAGTACTACTTTAACAGGAAATCACAGCATTGCAGATAAGGAGGGAGGGGGTGCTGAGAGAGAGAGAGAGAGCTTGCAAAGCGTCATTTTGTAGTTGGCTTCTAGGAGGAAAATAAGTTTGATGAGTCCTGAGCTCTAGTGATAAGGGCTCAGTACTGGTGAGGACGCAGGTGTTGGGTCATGTTACAGCTGTTTCCACTCTGCTGAGAACATTGGGTCCCCCTGACTCTCAGCCATGCATATTAGGGGTACATCTCATGATGGACCATGTGATTCTGAAAGTGGTTACAGTAAAGTGAATTGCTGTCAAAGTATCGTTTCCCATTACATTTTGGTGTTTTTTCATTGGGAAAACTCTCACTGGGAAAATTTCCAATTCTCCTGTACTTTATTTTCTCTCAGATGCTCATGACTGACTCATTTTAACACCTGATTTTTACTTCAGTGGCCCGATTGATGCGATAGTCCACAATGGGACCATCTCACTACAGAAATAGGAGAGGGATGCGTTTTGGAAACAAATTTGTTAAGTGTTTTCCAAATGTAGCTTCCTTATTGGCAGAGCTGGTGATTATATTTTAAAGGAGAATCTTTTCATTAAGTTGAAATTTAATTTTCTACTTGAATACTTTTCTTTCTGTGGAGAAAATGGCTGTTTTGTGGCAAATAATACGTTACAGTATTATAACTGCTTACCCGATTCCAGAGTGGGAGTTTGAATTTACGGTCAGTCGCGTGTGGCGGGTTTGACAGTGGCCAGATGACAGGACACCTCAGCTTGGCAGCCGAGATCCAGCAGTACCGGACCACCACCATCTGTTTGGGAGTTTGCGTTTTTATTCCCCCTTTTATAGACTGAGGGATACGTTTGGGTTGGTTTTTTTCTTTCAAAGAAATGGAAGAAGCTAATTGAGAAGCCCGAAATAACTTTTGAATGGCTAATCTTTGTCCGAGTTGAGACAGTTCTCTTCAAGTTCACCCACAAAAGGCTCTGTGAGTCCGTCTTTACTTGTACAAACCATGGGAAACTTTGAGCTTCATTAATACCACTTAAGGGAGACCTGCCTGTGGTTCCTAAGCTAACTAGATCTTAGGATTTGGTTTTCACTTGCATTGGTATTTTGTTCCTTTCCCAGTTTTGTAGGAATTAAGATAGAATAAGTTACCGTGTTTGGAAGAAGTGTTAGTTTTTGGAGGAGCCTCAAGGATCTTTTTCCCAGACAAATATACGGTCTGGGTGGCTCTGCTCCTCAAAGATTAATTTGTTTTGGAGGAGGTGACAGCCTGGCTATTGGAAATGAGGTCAGTACTTGGGAGTTACTGACTTTTGTAATCGATGGGTTCACATGTACCATGTGGGATTTTTGTGTCCTAAAGTGTCTGTATTTAGCCCTTAGAGTCGCTGTGGCATAGAGGGAGAGCGCGGGTCTGGGAACTGGGGAGCCGGGTGGTTCAGTCCCGGCTCTACTGCAGACTTATACTGGGACACGGATATGTCACTGTCCTTCCTGCAGTTTCAGTGTCTTGACAACTTTGAGATAGTTTTATAACGAGGTGCTGCTTTTGTTTAAAGCAAAGAAAAACCAAATTCTCACATATAATACAAAATGATACCCGAAATCAAGATTGCAGGCAGCGATGCTCTGGGTGTGTGCTGGGCTCCAGTGCGTGCTGATAGTCTGGAATTACTCTAAACGTGAACTGTAGGAGACGGGCATGGTTTTTAATGACCATCTCAGAGACTTCTAGTAATGTCCATCCCTCCCCTTCTTTCTGACTATAGACAGGCAGGTTGGTTTTGGTGATGCTTTGGGGCTTTCTGTGCATGTTAATATTGAATATGCACGTATCGATCTTCAGATGTATTGTGACTCTTTCAGGAAGGCTCCTGTTAAAAAACACGGCCTTCCATGATTTTCTCTTCAAAGCCGGTTAGTGTCAGCAGTAAATAGGGCTTATTATTGCTACTTCGTGAGGCTTGTGGTTAGATTCTGGGAAAATCCTGATCTCTGTCTTGCGGGACTTAAAATGGAAACAGTAGCGGAGACAAAGACAGTAAAACACATACATAGCAAGAGGCAAACTTAGGAATGAATGTATATTTACTTTAAGTGTATGGTTTCTGAGGTTTTTGTTAAGAAGGTTGTATTAGGGAGAGTGGGATCGTAGGAGGTCACTGCTAGAGGACTACAGAAAGTACTCAGCCCTGAGGTGGAGTGATTTCGATTAGCACGCATGGTTCACGATCTCTTTTGTAATGTTCCTCTCAAGCTGTGGCATGCCGTGCTGTCATGACTTGCAAGGTGTGGCTTAATACATTTTCTTAGGATTTGGTCTTTCAGAGGATGAATAATAGCAGTCTTGCAGAACAGAAGTTGGCTTTGTGGTTTTGACTGTAGGGATGCCCCCCCCCCCCGCTCGGTTACACAAGCTGCCTTGTATCAAGAGCATACAGGTTTCAGCTCCCCGTGTGCTGTATCACGTGGGCATGAACAAGCCTCTGCTGTTGTGGGGCAGCCGCACTGGTGATGCGGGATGGGGCATTCCCATCCCTGTCGTGAGCTGTGGTGGCTCAAAACACTGGTGTTTGTGGGACGGTACGTGTGTGTGTGTGCACCTACACACTGAAACTTCAGATCACGGTGAATCTAAATCCTGACTTAAAACAAGGGTGGGGGGGGAGCTGTTAGATTAATATGCACTTGATCTCTTAACGTTCACTTAAGTGGAGGATGCAAATTGGAGGGCTCCTATCTCCCCTAATTGCTTTCTCCCTTCCTCCCTGGACCCTTCCGACTTGGGGTTTTTGGGGTGGTGGCTAATTTCATCCTTCCGGTAATTGCCTCTAAGGAAGTTGAGCCCTGGGCCATGGTGGGCTGGGTGTGGGGCCAGGCCTCTGTTAACCTTTTGGGTCACTGTCTCCTCTCCTGGTTCTCTGGAATAGCTGTGCGGTACCTTCTTACACACAGTGATGTTTCTCCCATTTGTTGTAGGAACTGTGTGTAGGGATATTTGCGACATTGCTTTATTTATGTCTCTGAGCTATCTTTTCAACTCCTTTTGTAGTCTTTATCAACTAGGGTTGTGTGAAAGAATTCAGTCCAACAGAAAATAATTTCAGTAAATATTTTCTTGGTTTTCTCAAGGATGGGACATGCTATGCCTTCTAGATGCATACGAGAGAAATTAATTCGTCACATACACGTGTTGCCTTAGAGCATCAGGACTTAATTTTCTCACAGAGTCTGGGTTGACAAGGGTTGCTTTAGAGTGTTTTTCTTTCATAACGATTGAGGAAGAAATCTTGATTCATTTCGGTCAGTATCCTAAGTACCTCTTCTCACTGTCTAGTATGCAACTCAAGTGTTCTCTCTGACTCAGAGTCAGGGGAAGGTCTCCTCTGGGTTCCCTTAGCTGCTTGTCTGTGCCACTAGTACCACAGCCTGCACCGTCACATTGTACTAGAATTATTTTCTTAGCCACCTCACAGATAAGGGGAGGATGATTATAATTACAGCCTCTTGATCTCTTTGACAGTCACTTGGATGGAGGATGCAAACTGGATGGCTGTTTGTACAGTAGCCCTTGGTAGAGGTTCTCCAGAATCTGGCCTTAATCCATTGTGGTGGACCTACAGGATGTCCTCCAGTCATTCTGCCCTCGTATTCGTGGTGTCCTGTGGCCCCCCACCAACTCCACCCCCCCCCCCCCCCCACACACACACACAGTAAATAGGGCTGAACGTGTAACCACTGGGATATGGTAGAATTGATGGCATGTGACTTCTGAGACTAGGTCATGAAAACTTACTGGCTTCCACTTTGTCCCTTTGGGAAGCACCATGTTTCGAGGACACTTAAACAGTTCTCTGGAGGGGTCATGGGACCTCCTACCCGTAGTCCACACCAGCTGACCAACCATGTGAGTGAGTGGTCTTGGAAGTGGATCGTGCAGCCCTGACTGACATACTGACTCATGAGAACTCTGAACCAGAACCACTCAAATAAGGTACTTTGGGACTCCTAACCCTCAAACTATGAGAGAATAAATGTTGACTGTTTTAAATAGCTAGGTTTCAGGGTAACTTACTAAGCAATGGTTGATAACTAATACATGTATTCTTCAAATATAGCGGAGCACTTGACTTATAATGTTAGGTCACACAATGTGTGAATAAATGAGTTACTAGTAGCGACCTAAAAGGCCTTTTGGTAGTTTTAGGCACTCTTTCCACATATTTATGTAGATACGTAGATAGATTCAGGTATATAACATTCTTAAATAAATCTTAAATGAATAATTGAGG